CGGAATTAGCGCTTTTTACCGACGCGTCTGATCATAACGTCGGAGCCGCGTTGCAGCAGCGGAATGGAGACGACTGGGAACCGCTTGCATTTTATTCCAAAAAATTAAGTCCGACCGAGGCGAAATATAGCGCATTTGACAGAGAGCTCTTGGCTATATATCTCGCTATAAAATACTTCCGACACATGGTGGAAGCCCGGAATCTCACGGTTTATACGGATCACAAGTCGCTTATTTACGCGTTTCGGCAGAAACCAGAAAAATGTACGCCGCGTCAATTTCGACACTTAGATTTCGTCGGCCAGTTCACGACCGATATTAGACACGTGTCTGGTGACGAAAATGTGATAGCGGATGCATTGTCGAGGATCGAGGGGCTCTAATCTCCTATGGATTATACGGCACTGGCAGTGTCGCAGGAAAACGACGAGGAGCTCAAGAAATATCTACAACAAGAATCCGGATTGCAGCTCAAGAAAATCGAGATTCCGGGAACAGGAACGCGGTATACTGTGACACAGGTACAGCAACGCCACGACCTTTTCTGACAAGGCCATTCCGACGAGTCGCTTTCGATATAATACACAACCTGGCGCATCCGGGAATTAGGGCGACGACCAAACTCGTGGCCCAGCGTTTCGTATGGCCATCCATGAACGCGGATTGCCGTGCCTGGGCTCGCACGTGCGTGCCATGTCAGCGAGCGAAGGTGACTCGCCATGTATCGGCACCAATCGGAGATTTCGCCGCGCCATCCAGAAGGTTCGTACATGTGCACATCGACATTATAATAATGCCAGTTTCAGAGGGAAAACGTTATTGCCTGACCTGCGTTGATCGCTTCTCGCGATGGCCAGAGGCATTTCCCCTGAGAGATCAAGAGGCAGAAACGGTGGCAAGAACTTTCTATGAGGGATGGATCGCGAGGTTCGGAGTACCTCTGCGAGTCACGACGGACCGCGGACGACAATTTGAATCCAACCTATTTCGCCAGTTAAACGATCTGACTGGAACGACATGGTTGAGGACAACGGCATACCATCCGCAGGCCAACGGGATGGTCGAGCGGTTTCACCGCCAACTTAAGGCGGCAATTAAGTGCTACAGCAACGATCGGTGGACGGAGGTGCTACCGACGGTTCTGTTGGGGCTGCGAGCTGCCTGGAGAGACGACTTGCAGGCGACGGCGGCCGAGCTCATATACGGAGAGACACTGAGACTCCCGGGACAATTTTTAGACCATCAGATACCTGACGAGACGGGCAATACCGCTGACTTTGTCAGGGGATTGCGTCGTCACTTCGACGATTTGCGTCCGGTCAAGGGAACGCGTCACGGAGAGCGGAAGCCTTTTGTATTCAAGGACTTGGCCACAGCGGAGAATGTGTTCGTTCGACACGACGGACCAAGGGCTATGTTACAACCGCCATATAATGGCCCTTACCCGGTGATCAGCCGCACCGACAAAGTCTTTGTCGTGCGGATTAACGGAAAAAATGTAACAGTTTCCATCGATCGCCTTAAACCCGCGTACATTATTACAGACATCATACGAGACAAAGACGTGGCCGAGCCAGAGATCGAGAGGACGCCGGCCCAAAGCAGCCCGAAACAGATAGACGCTAGACGAGCCGCGAGCGCGGGGCCTCCCGGGGACCGAACTGGTCACGACGAGGTCCGGCCGAAGGGTCCATTTCCCGGACAGACTACAAGTTGGACGAAGATAGCGCGCATTTAAATTATAATTTATTTTTTTTTATTGTTAATTTTCGTTGATTTTATATAATTTTATGTATTAATTTTATTGACTCGACCGCGATGACACATAATTTATTAACTTTTTTCCTCTAATCTGCGACTTCTATTTTTCTTTTTTTTGTTTGTATCGTGATGTAAATTACTGGCAGGAGAGTACTGTGGCGATTGCATCGCACAGCCTCAGGTAAATTAAATATAAAGAAATGAAAGTTAAATATAAAAAATGAAATGTAAAAGAGATTCCCGTTAGAGGTCCACATACAGCTGTGCAAGTGCGCAATGAGTCGGATACACACACGTGTGCCACATGTGCAGCGGGTCAAACGTAGGGACAAGATCGGATCGATTAGCGCGGATGTCCCCGGCTTGGGCAAAAGGATAACTTGTCCTTTTTCACAAATCAAGAAATAAAAAATAACG